TTATTATTTGAAAGGAAAAACAAAAAATAATTTTCTTTTTTACTTTATCAAATAAATTGTCTCACACTTTTGTCTCATTTTCATTTAATATTTCTTAAATAATTTTGTTTTTTTTTTTTAAATACATAAATGTTTTCTTAAAATTTTCGATATTAAAATAACCACACGGACATTCACCACATAAAAATAACAAAAAATTATGCAGACAGATAGAATATCCTTTTATATACTTCCCATATAATTTTAACTTAGTTTTACTTATGATGCTAATACACAGGAATATAAGATTTTTTTTTTGAAGAGACCAAAAATTAAAACCAAAACGTATAGAAAATAATAATAAAATATGACAAAACAAACAACAAAAAAAAACAAAACAAGCGGAAAAAAAGGTTATAATCTACATGTACACCTAAGGACCAGAAATAAAAACAAATAATACAAAAACTAAAATAAAATCAAAAGAAAAATTTCGTTTTTTATGAATACATATATATATATATATATATATATATATATATATATATTTTTTTTTCTTCAAAAAATATTTCCCAAGGATACATTTTCATTTACAGTAAATTGAATATTAACAAAGGGATAACAATTTTATACTGAAATATACGGTAACCATAAAAAAGCTCTTAAGTTGTTTGGTTTCTTTGTTATTTTTGCTTTTTTTTGTTTTTATTGAAATATTTCCCGAATTTTATTTTAAAATTTTTTCTATTCCTTTTATATGCGACCGAATTCTTACAATTTTTAAGGTAAACTAAAGGTTTCATGAAAATTATTTTCTTTTAAGTTCGACTTTTTTTTTTAAGGGTAATGTTGTTTTTTTTTTGTTTTTTGTGTCTTCTCTATTTTTTTTTTGTTTTTTACATTTTTTTTTTAAAGGAGAGTTTTATATTGCCGTTGTATATTCCTTTTGGTAGATAATCTCCGAAAATAATATGTGTGGGATATTTTTTGGTATACTGCAATAGTTAAATAAATGCTTTTTCTCTGTTATATACGTATGTGCGTCAATTAGATGGTTATCAAATTATGTTTGTAAAAAATTATATAAAAATTTTGTTGATTGTTAAAGTAAGGATTTAAACATCACCTAAAAATATATTGTTTAAGACTAGAATTCGTATATAATGTGGATTTCATAATAACATGTAAAAATTATTAAATAATATAATTTAAATAGAAACAATTTCAGTTTATTATGCAGGCCACATTACTACATTTTTTTATAACAGATCGACAATATTAATTATAATTTTTATTTCCATGATTTTTTTAAAAAATGTGTCTGTCTGTCACAGATTCAATTGCCTTTAATTTGTGTCTTTTTGCTATAATAATGTGGTAAATAGTAAACATCGTATTTCTCAATAAAAAACTTTGTTCAAATTATTTTAATTTTTCAAAAATCGAAAATTTTTAATTGATTAATTATTTAAATAAAATTTTAATTCCAAAATTCAAAAATTCGATTTTATTGATTGTTATAAGAATATTGAAATTTTTTATAGTTTTAATATTTAGTCTTCATAGCGAAACAAATACTCAATTTATGAAAATAAAATAAAAGATAAGAATGACAAATATAACCAGAGTTCCTCTAAAAACTTATAGACAATATTGAATTACCCCAAATGACAGTTTCAGAATGTTGTAACGAAGCATAATTATTAAAACTATATATTATCTAAAACTACATAAAGGAGCTATATTCTGTTTTGGCTGTTTTGCAGGCTACCTTGCAGTTTCATATAGATAAAGCTGGACATGAATTTTCAGAAAATTTTAAATTCAAAACTTTTTTTATTAATTTGAAATATAATACATAAGTTAACCTAAATAATTGCAATTTTGAAATATATTTGCCTAAAATTATGCAATTCTTTTTTAAACTGTTCAATTTATCTGAATAGTTTCATTGTTAATCTCCTCTTAAAATTACACAATTATTATCATTTCAAGTTCTAAAGTGTAATGCTTAGAGAGAATTGCTTTTTCAATAACTTTAAAATCATAAGACTCTTGTAGATATTTTGTGTTTTCAAAGTGTTATTTTAACTTGTTTTTGTTTTTTTGCTTTCCAATTCATGTAAGGTATAAGGATATCAAACAAGTTCTTTTTTTTGTGAAAATTACTGCGCAAGTGTTATTTTTTCATAAAATTGAGAATTTCTCCTTTTTCGAAATTACGTCGTCGTTTAAAAAGAAAAAAAAAGTTTTTTTTTCTACAATAATTTATTTTTTTGTTTGTTTTACTTTTATTATAATATTTGTTATGATTGTTATTAATTTCAAAGCTTTTCAAAATTTTTCGATAACAGCTTATAATGGCTAAAATAACACTTAAAACTTTTATACAAACATAACCTGTTGCTACTTATAATCCAGTGTATTTTTAATTTATATATTATACAAAATGTAAACATTATAAATCATTTTGAATTTGTAACTGGAATTTGTATATATGTATATATGTATGTATATGATTATAAAATTTTTTATTTATAGGTACAATTTTATCAATTATTTCATTGTGTATTTTGCATTATATTTCATATATGTATATATGACAATATAGCTGTATATATAATTTATAAATAAATATATATAATTTCTGTTATACTATCTACGTGTGAATTAAAATAGATATTCATATACATATAATGTGTATTAAACAGTATAAAAAATATAAAGTTAAATGATATATATAGAGAATGTTTTCCTTTTGCTTTCTTTTTAAAATATTTATGCAAAGAATTCATAAACAGAATGAAATTTAATTAAAATCCCTTTCTTCTTTTCATATAAAATACAAGGGGATTGATAATATCTATCTATCTATACATATATATATATATATATATATATATGTATATATATATATATATTATTTAATATATGCGGTTTTTGTCCTTAAAATTTTTTTTTTGTAATAATTTTAATTATCAAATAATTTTTATTAATTTAAAGTTGCTCATTTTATGTAAATTGGAATTATGAAAGTATTTAAAAAAAATGTTCGAAGCCCGTTAAAAACTTTGTTATAGTAGCACAAAAAAAAAAAATGAAAATAATTTGAAAGATGTAAAGAGGATTACAAATCATTGGAAATGATTAAAGAAAATAACCAAAAAACCATTTGCCAAATATGTAATTAGAAAAGTTTAATGATTTATTATAAAAAAAATTTTCAAAAGTCATTTTTGAATATTAAATATCTATTGTATATTAAAATTCGAATGATGATTTCTGAATAATGAAATTCTGTATTAATAATTATTATAATTGCCACAATTAATGTCCGAATTGCCAAATTTCAATAATTATCAAAAAAAAATCTGGTGCGATCAGCATATAACCGGTCTAAATTTGTATTGTACAGTTTAGCGAAATCATTGCAGAAGATTATGAAAATGCCTTTTGGACCCTGATTTACAATTTTAAGGACACTATAGTAAGCTAAAGTTTCTGTAACCACCAGAAGTCAAATATTAAATTTCAAGAAATTTCATCCATTTGTCTCGTAGATGTGATAAAAAATGCTAAATCGACCCCAAGTTCGAGCTTTGATCGTTTCAAAATATTTATAGGTTCATTGGTATAACACCCCGATTTTATTGAAATTTTAATTTTCTTGAACATTAAAATTTTTTTATAAATAGAAATATATTTTTCTACAATATTATATTTGGGAAAATACGAAAATTAACTTTAGAATTTGTATGTTGGAACTCCGATTGAAGATTTGCATTAGGTTCTCTTATATAAATACTTCTTATATTATTCTACAGCAAAGTTTATTACTTTGCAATATTGTTAACTATATGTACAATTTATTAACTGCATATTCTTGAAACGTTATGGTCCCGCTGTAGTTATTGCAGTTTCCAAATATTTTATTTTTGTTTCCAATAGACTTTGCTCATTTGATAACCGTTATCTTAAACATAAGTAGTAATATAATTTTCAGTATAAATTTCATTATATACATGCAAATATTTTTTTATGATTGGAATTATTAATTGACCTATGATAAATCAGAAAAATTTAAAATATTAACCTCTTACTCAAAAAATATCTACAGTCTACTTACAGTCACATAAATTATAATGGCTTAACTTAATTTCAATATTTTTTAATATATAGTTTTCAGTTTCAACTGGGTTTTGCCCAAGTCTTAGTCTAAATATATTTTTAGCAATAAAAGCTTTATAAAGTTTTCTATTTATAACAACATTATTTGAAAATTATTTTAAGATTTCGAAGAAATTGAATTAAATGAAGTACTAGTATAATAAATCTATATGGGTATTAATGTAAGTGTGGTCAGTCTATAAATTATTTAACAAGCAATAAAAAAAATCTATTATAATTTTTAATGCTAACTACTTTAATTTTATTTGTACTGTTTTTTATTCTGATCTTATTTTTATTTACAAGTTTAAAGCAGTTTGAAATATCTTATACGAATTATGATTTATTATATCATTGAAAATAATTTCACGTATTCCATACTTGAGTAAAAATTAATATTTTATGTAACAAGTTAAAATAATAGACTAACAGGCTATACTCTTCGGGTATATTATTTTTTATTTATTTTTTGCTTGTAGTATGGCTTAGAAACCGTTGAATGTGCAGAACTCAAAAACTTAAAAATTTCGTTGAATATAATAATTAAATTTCGTGAGTTTATTTTTAAAAACAAAGTGAATCTTATTTTGAAAAAACAACTAGTTGGTAGGGAACAAAGACAAGTCATTAATAGAACGTTATTATTTATTAAAAGTGCATATTTATTTAAAGAAAATAATAAATAAATCGAGAACAAAATTATATAATTTCATACTTTTATTTGTATATCATTCTTTTTAATATTGGTAATACACAAACAAACAATAAAAATGTTATTCAACACACATACATTTATATTTCGTTTTTTTTTTTTCAGTTCAACAACTTTATTTTTTACAAACTAAGAATCTTTTTATAGAATTTCCCTATTTATATAACAAAGGCTCATATCCTGTACCATAACTTTTATAGAAGACATCAATAAGTAAAGCTTCAAAATTCTTTGCTAAAATTCTATAGACATTCATTTTGTAGTTAATAAATTTTATAATATTAATCAGTTCTAATTTAGATAGAATAGAATTGAGTTGCAGTTGATGATTGCAATTCAATTTGTCCCATTTTAAATTGCAATCGCTGTAACCATTTTAGGAGGGCTTCAGATTGTAACGTTTGTTGTTCTTCTAAGTCCGGTGCATAATCACGAACGCTTTGTAAGCGAACATGTAAGGTACCAGATTGTGTTTGTGAAGATAAAACTGGACTGAATAACGGTAGCAATTTTCCCAAAATTGTTGAATGAGTTTCTTTCAATGCTTCCAACAAACTAAGAAAGTGCAAATTTACCATTTCTGATAGCTGGAATTAATTGAAAAAATGTAATTAAAAAAGAATTCTGAATAAATGTTAAAAATTCATGCATGCATATACCTACATTATATATATGTATATTTATAAAACTTACCACTTTAGCATGGGAAACTAACTGTAGGATGCAAGGAGTTACTTTTGCCCAAAATTCAAATAAAATACCCATAGTAACATTATAACCTTCTGAATTGTGTGCAGATGTATATGAGATTTGCTCTAAATATACAGTCCAAAGTTGACATAAAGTAAATGCGTGGAATAATGATGACATGTGCAGGACCGAAGTTTTTGACTGTTCGGAAAAACCAGCAAATATAACTTGTATATGATCGGCAATATGACAACTCGCTTCCTGGGGTACTGGTTGTACTATTCCCTGTTGCTGTTGATGTAAATGAGTTACAGATGCATGTTGTCCAATTGGTCCACTTTTCTTGGCTGCTAATGCGGTGTGAGTTAAAGAGCCCATTAAAAGCCAAGACAAAAGTCGCATATGTCCAACACATTCCGTAAATTCTTTTGGTCTAAGCATAAAATATTAAAAATTATAGAAACTTAAGAAAATTGGATATTTTGAAATCTATTTACCCTTGTTGTAAGGAAGATGGTGCATTGTGTAGCCATGGTAAATATCTTGAAACTGCTTTATTATCTCTCGAATTTCCTCTTGACATTTCTAAAGCTAAATATTGCGCTATAGCTCCTTTTAAAACCCCACCCAAAGTATCTTCCCCAAATCCGTTTGATGTTTGACTATTGTTTTTGAAGTTCTAAAAAATATTAATTGTAAAATACTTTTAAGTTTTTTTCAAAGTTCGGTCTACCTTTATTTTGCTTAAAGTATGGAAATCGGCTAAGAAATCCATGATGTCATTCATGTATTGCCTCATAGCGTCAGCCATGTTTGTTGTATATACTGGTGGATGATCTGGTAGACCTTCAATTGTTCCAGGTGGCAAAGCCCCCCCAGCATCTTGAAGTGCTGTACCAACTATCAACAACAAATTTGAATCTGGGATATTGATCTTGAATTTCAATGCTTGTATCAGTTCAAATATTATTTGTCGACACAAAAAGAATTTGTCACGATCTTTTGAAAATGCTCTAATGCTAAATGTGCATAAATCATACATGATTTTATGTTTGACATGTATATTTTGTATACAAAAACTTAGAACTTTTGAAAATGGATCCAAAAGTCCTTTAGAAGCTCCGGGAGCCTTCAGAACTGATACCATTATTTCCAGCAAGCTTTCTAAATTTTCCAAACTTGGCAAGATAATAATTAATTGACGGAACAGGACATCAAGAGCTTGCAATGGTGTTTGCCATGCAACAGGACCTAAACCATTTTCGCTAGGAATACTATGTAAGTATTCTGCCATATTACGAATGATGACAGGTAAGATATCTACTGGTAAATGTTTTTTGGAATTTAAAGCCTCGCAAACTAAATATATCGGACTAATAGGATTTAGTTCTTGAAAGTCCAGCAGGGCTTGAGCAATACTTCGAAAATATTTTTTACGAACTTCAGCTTTTACTTGCGTTTGAAATAGCTGTAAGAAAACGCCATTTGGAGCTAGTTGATGTAAAACGCATCTTAGAAATTGATGTGCAACCGATTGTGACCCTCCTGGTAAATGAGTGTTGCTCTCGTGTTGCCATGTAAACGTCGAACGTAAGGCAAACCTTGAAGAAAATTGTTATGAGTATTTTTAGTGAAATTTTTTTTTTCTTTTAAAGTATTTTGTACTCACTTTGAAACACACGTTAAAATTTCTGGCAAGAACGGTGCGGCCATTGATGGTTCTCTGTGGATAAATGTTCCTAATATAATGATAAGCAAACCAATTTCTTCATCACTATATTCTTCTATCATTGATCCGCATTCAGAACATCTCAAGCAAACACAGTCATCTCCGACTCGTGATGAGCTCATTTTGTATTCGGATTGCGAAGTGTTTCCATTTCCGGAATCTTCTTCAGGTGGATCATAAAAATCTCGGTCATTCATAGGAGGCCATGAACCAGCAAATCGTGATCGTACATCGGGAATCGATTGCGAATCAACCGCAAATGGTCCAACTTTTCGAAGTTTAGGTTTTGCTCGTCCGGGAGGTTGAGTATTTAAATCGACTTTTTTGTCAATGTTCGTACCATTTTGCTGTTTCGGATCATGCGACACACTTTTAAGAATAGTAGTATGAATGTCTCCTTGGGCATTAGGTGGGGATTCTAATGCAACTTGTTTAATCAATTTTCTGGGGGAGTTAGTTCTGGTACTAGTACTAATGTCTTCCTTTGTACTTTCCGAAATATCTAAACTATCTTGCTTTAAATGACTAATGTCGGGTATATTTAATGCTTCTCGAACTCTATCTGCTATTGAAGAAATACCTTCTCCGATCGGTAAAAGTCTTTCGGGTGTTGGGAATTCAAGTTGTGAAATTTGCTTAGGTTTTGGGAAAGAATCTTTTGGAAGATCATCATTTGGATACGGCATAACATTCATTTTAGAAAGAGGAGACTCAGGAGAACCAAATGTTTTTTCTAAACTTTTCAGTGATTTTCGAATTTTTCCATCAGATCTCGAGCTATCTGTATTAGTTGATGGCGAAGAAGATGAACCAACAGGGGTAGTTGCTGGAGTAGGTTCTATTATCTTTTGGTGGCGACCAAGTGGTTTGGCTGTGCTATATGGTGGTGAGCCTTTCCTCAATTCGGGAAATGTTCCATTTGTTTTAGAAGTTCCATTAATAATGTACCCTGTAGGTGGTTTGGCTGCTAGAGGTTGCAAGTCTTGAGTACTAATACGATTTTCGATTAAAGTAGGTGAAACTTTTGTATCAACATCATGAAGAGCTCCTATTGCTTTTAAGTGATTTGATGCAATACTTGCAAACATTTTTGAAGTAGCAGTCATTTCTGGAGTTTTAGGACGTTCTTTTTGCTGACTTAAAAACTTTTCTTTTTCCACATCTGAAGTCATGATCATTGATGGCGTCACCATCATGCGAACACCTTCTTGTAAGCTACATTTGCTGTCAACCATTTTATTAGTCTTCACAGTGGTGTCTGTAGGACGCGTTATTATAGTTGTTACAGAAAGTCTGTGTTGCTTTTTACTCAAATCTTTTTTCTGAGGACAAAACAAAAAATTTAAATTATGAGATAAGAATTTTGTTTTTATTAAATCACACCTCTTCGTGATGATGATGGTGATGTTCTGAAGCTTTAAGTGTAGATAAAGCAACATGAGCGGTAGCTAAATTTGCTGTTGTTACATGTGTCCGATTTTTGAGAATTTCCGGTTTCAGTGGTGCAGCGATTTCATCAAAGTGAACGGGATCGTCAAAAGAGCCCTGAAAACATTTATGTATATGTATGTTTTTATAAGTGTTTTTAACTTTTATTTAAAAATTCTTACAGGAGCACTGCTACCATGCATTGTGCTATCAGAAAAATCACTTTCTGGAATAGCTACCAATTCACTTTCTGTATCGTCACATTCAATACTAGAATCTTGATATTTTCGGAATCCAGGCTGAGCGGGTTTTTGAGGAAATCCAGTAGCTGTTTGAGTTTTGGTTCTTGATCCCCCGCTTGTACCGTGACTGGTGCCTTCTGATGGAAATATTGGACTTGGAGGAGGACTTTCCTGTCGATTTAAATCTGGATCAGTACCCAACGATGGTTGGCTAGCATCTCTAGATCTAAGGACAGGTTGTATATCCAGTATTGTTCTTGTTGGAATACGTTTGCACTGATGAAATTGCGCCTTCAAACAGTTAAGAACTATTCTTATAACACTGTTTATATATCCGCTGTATGGAGGCTGCGTATACTCGTATTTGTAAAGTACAACAAGTACAGACATTAGCCAATTTCGTCGTGCATGAGCCTCCAAGTGCCATAATGAATAGTTGTATACGAGATTTTGAAAAGCATCAACACCAATATTTGATGGATTTGGAGCAAACAGAAGAACCTGAAGAGCTGAAGGCAATATTAATCCCCCAATTAAATGATTTTGATCTAAAACTTGTGGTAGATTTGCAAGAAATGAATTAAATACAGCGGAAGATCTAAAAAAGAATTTAAATTGTTTATTATTCAAATATTATAATAAAATGAATCTAACCGCAGCTTGGTTGGTGTAACATGGAAAGTTTTTTCTAATTGATTATGTCCTAAAAGCAAAAATAAGTGCTTTAGAACAATATTTTGAGTTTTAACCATCGGTTTCTCTTCAGATGGGAATGCTTGATCAACACGTGACATAAATTGCATCAAAAGGAAAACCAGCAAATGAATAGTTTCCTTATCAGATTCCTCCAATTCTATAATCCGATGAATGATAGCTGAAAGTTCTTCAGCAGCTCCAATTGAATGAATTTGACCATCTATATTTTAAAATCACAAAATAATAATATTAGAAAATTTCAATATTTTTTTATTACTTTAATTTTTTAAAGTATTTTGTATTAAAATTTTAACAATATTTATATTTAATATAGCGATTAAAGTGTTACAACTTATTTTTTTTATTTCTGAACGGTATCGTATAAGAATTTAACTTTAGGAATTTAGGATTAATTTATATTACTCTATTATGATTTCATATAAAAAGTTTTGGAAATTTACTTGGTTCTTGTTAATAAAAAAATAAGCTGTATAACTTTTAAATCGCTTTACATTGATGGAAAGTTTTTATATCGAAAACTTGTTTACAATATGGGTTGTTTTTACATTAAATTATAAAAATACTTAAACAGATGATGAGTTTTAAATTAAAATGTATAAAATTACATATTTATTTTTAATGATAAATATTTCAAGTAAAACCGCATAAATAAATTTTCTCTCTTATGATTTTCGAAATTCTTGAATGAACGTTTAGTGAACGTATAATTAACATAAAACTTAAGTAACTAGTCTTTATCGTTTGCTTTGTATTAGATGCTGAAAATATTTTGCGAATCCGTTTGTAAATAAAACTATTCTAACCAAGTTAAGTAAGCAGTAGTGCTAAAATAAAATTATCATTTAGCTATAATGTCTATGCTAGACTTTTCTCAAAGTGCATATGTAAAACTTTACTTGAAATTCCGATTTTATTTTGTGTGAATACATATTTGACAATAAAAAAAATATTCTCAATTTCGAGCCGCGATTTGCTGTTAATAAAATAAAAAATTCCTTTATGTACATTGTGTGTACAAAAGAGAATATATTTATTATGTAACATTGAAATATTTATCATAATGTTTAGGAGATTCTAGAGTGATATTTCAATTAATAAAGTATAAACTTTATGATAGAAAATAATATTTAACTTTATATGTTTTTAGTTTAATGTGTTTTTTTTTTTTCATTTTTGTTCAAGTTTAAGTTTATATTTTTCAGTTTAAACTTTACATGCCGCTACATTGATCTAAAAAAAGTATTTAAATATTATAAAATAAAATAATATAAAAAAGTACCTTCAAGTAATAGACAGAAACATACCAAAGAGTTTTTTTTTTGTTAGTTATTGTTTATTATGTATTTTAATTTTTTTGATAGATTAAGACACAGTGACGTTTCACTTTTGAAGAGATACTGAAGATTCTTATGTTTTGTATTTATTTTTACATGAATACATATAGATGACAGTAGTAGTAGTAGTAGTAGTAGTACATTACATAGTATAACAAAGTCAATTTGAAGAGAGAGTTTTACTTTGGAACACATACACAAGATAACATTAATTTTATATATACATTATGATAATGAAAAACCAAAACCAAGTAACATAAAATACAAATAACGCATATTTTATATGGATGAAAATTGAGGAAATAAAGAAACCAAATTATATTCTAGATAAAAATGATAACGTGCAACTTAAAAATAAGTAATTAGAATGAAGCGCTATGGAATCGTTATAAAAATTTACGTTGTACTATTCGAAAACGAATTCAAAATGAGTAAAAAAATATGACGATCTAATTTTTAAATTTAGATTACTTCAAAACCAAGAGGTGTTTCAAAATTTAACTATAAAAGGTGAGTTGTTTTTTTAATTTAAATTAATGTAATATGTTTTTTTTTTTTTATTAAAAATAGTATGCATTGTAACATTAGCATTAAATTTGATTAATTAATACAAATTGGTTTTTCCAAATAGAAATCATCGCAGAATTAATTAATAAAACAGAGATAGAACTGAAATAGAGTTTGAAAACTGTAAAAATAGTATAATAAATTTTTTTATTTAACGATAAGTTAATAGATGGTATTAACATTTACAAAAAAAAATTCGTGCATCCAATGAAGGACGGAATATGCTATTGACTATATTTAAAATATCAAACTTTTTCACTGTTTTTCGGGCACTATTGGTTGTATGTCATAAGAATACGAACAACATTACATTCATTATTGTGTTATTTACAGTTCTTTTAATATATCCCTGTAGAAGCTAAATTATAGTAGATTATAAGCTAAATCAGAGTTGAACACTTAAAGAAATTATTGTATGTGTGGGTAAATATAAATTCGAAAAAAAAAATAAAGGTTTTTGACAGAAAATAGTTGTGATGTGAATGTACTGTTTTGTATGTAAAATTAATTTTTTAGTTTAAGGAAAAATTCCGCTATTGGGAAAAAAAATAAAAGGAAAAGAATGATTCTGCAGGAAAAAGTGTTATCAAAACAACAGGCAATTCAAATTTTTATCAATCTAATTGTGAGAAAACTATTTGAAAGTATAATATGATTTTAAGATTCCACATTAAATAAATGTACAAATAATGTAATTTTTTTGAAATGATAAAGCCAATTTAAAAATAATATTCAACAAACAAAGTAAAAAAAGCGGTTTTTTACTCAAAATATTTCGCATATACGTTCCATTAGAGAAGAATTCAATCCATTTTTTATAAGCACCTGAAAAATGTTTGAAAACTGTTTCGTTTTTTTTTTCTTTTTGTTATAGGCAAACTAAAAATAAATCAAATTGCGTAAAAACTAAATAGAAAATGAATAGAAACATATTCTATCTGACGATAAATTTTCTGTATCTGATTTAATTGTAGCTCTTAAAATAAAATGAAAAACATTTTTCTAATTAATAAGCACACTTATGTTCAACTTTTAACTTTTAAGAGTCAAAACAAAAAATCTTCAAAACTAAATATGAACGTAAAAACATTTCAACATCGCAGAAGTTTTGAAATTCTTCCAGAAACATAAGAATTAAATTCATAAAACTAAACAAAATGAAAATGAAAGAAAAATAGAAACGTAATTGTTTTTATGTTACATTTTTAAAATTTAAAATTAAAATGAAAATTTATAAAATATTAATTGAGATTGTAATATAAATTTACTTTTTTTTTTCAAAAAAAAAAAAACAAAAATTATAACTAATAATGATAAACAACAACAATCATGCTCTAACACCTACCTTGAGGACCAAGTAAATTGATACCATCACCACCACCACCAGCAACCCCAGCTGCAGCTGAAGGAGATTTTTGTAATTGTTGGTGGTGATACTGTTGATGATGGGATAAGGATGAACTAGGATTTAAATTACCAGAGGATTGACTAAAAAAGGATTGACCACCACCACTAGCAGCATATAAAAATTTATGTGAGGGTGTATGTGGAGGATTTGGAGATGCTGGAGGCTGATGCTGCTGATATTGTTGATGATGCTGCAAATTGCTATTACTGTTTAATAAATTTGATGATGATTGATTTTGTTGTTGATGATGATGATGATGATGTTGTTGTTGTTGTTGTTGTTGTTGTGAATAAAAATGAGAATGAACTATTTGAGGTTTTAAATGGCCTTGATGGCTCAATTGATTGTTTGGTGGGACTAATGTAGTTTGACAACTATGACTAGTATTTGTTCCACTACCACTAGATAAAAACTGACCCAAACCAAAACGTGATGTTTTCCTTTTTAATATTGGAGCTGATATTTGGCGGCTATAGACTTTTTCTTTTTCTACAATTAAAATTCAATAAATAAGTATATAACGTATGTATACATATGTGAATATCTTATGTATATTTTGATAAAAGAAGATGATAATATATAAAAACAAAACAACATTTAATTTAAAATTATATTTACTGAGATTAAAAGAGAGTATTTTGCGTATGTAATGCAATAAATTTAATTATTTCATTAAGATTTGGTAAGTAACTAAATTTGTGATTCAATTTTTTTATTAATCAATTGATTAAATTTTCGCATGTATATATAGGAATTTAATTTAGGGAACACAAGATAGTCCCAATAATCTACAGTAACTTTTTAATATACATAACGGAATTCTAATATAAGGAAATTACGCAAATGTTTTAGCTATATTAAAAAAACATTTAATTTAAAATGTAAATTTTTCACTTGTAACTGAATTTTTATAATATTTTTCTTTTTCTTACCCATCTTCGATTCCTGCCTTGGAATCATACTGGCAGGTGCTGACATTGTTCTTTTATAAGGCCATTTCGTACCAAATGATGCACTCAAAGTTTTTGCCATACTGCTATTTGTATCTGAATGTGATAATGCCTCTCGTGCCTTATTAATTTTCATTGACAAAACTTCACTACCATTTTCTGAATTTCTTAAATCTCTTAAATAGGAGATATCACCACTTTTTTCTAAATTGATTTGTGCTTCAACAAAAAGCGTATCAAAACGATTCAAAAAGAAATCCCATGTTAAAACTTTTCGATCCGATAATGAATTATGTAATTGATATAAAGATTGTAATACAACTGGCCGATCAACAATAAATAAATCAAATTGAGATTCTAAGCAGAAGAGCAATGATCGAATTGCATTATCATGGATTGTGCCCAAATATAATGTTGCACGTTGTGCTACATGTACGTTAATATCATCCATACTTGCGATTAAATGACAAAAAGCTGTTGCTAATGCTGTTTGAAGGCCAACTTCACTACGTAGTGGGGTTGTATCCATAAATCGTGTAATAACGGTCACTCGCTCAACTGCTGTAAAACGTACACGCCAGTCCGGATCATGAAAATCTTCTTGAACGACACGCCAAAATACATCAGATCCAAGTGGTAAAGTAATGCAATGCAAAAGTAATGGTACACCAGCTTGACATATATGTGAATGTTCGGCATTACACAAATCCCATAAACTATGAAAATATTTTTATAAAGAATAAATTTTATTTGTTGTTCAAAATTATTTTACTTTTTTATTAAGAGGTTTTCCTGACACCATATAAAAAATCCACGATGTTCTCTAACAGCCTTAGTTAAAGCATCACCATGAAGTGCCATAACATTTAGACATTGAAGAATATAATATAAAATGTCTGGCTTTTGTATTGTCGGTATTTCCTATAATGTTAAATGTTCAAATTTTATACAATCTCATACAATTGGATACAAAATCGAAATGTTGTAAATTTTTAGTACGCCTCAAAATAAAAATAACCGCCAAGTAAAAAATTTTTTAAATCGCTTAATGAAAAAGCATAAGTGTGAAAAATTTTCAATTTCTAAAAAAATATTAAATCTTAAATTAAAAAAATTAAATTAAACTAACTCTTTTTTTTGCATGCAATCTCAAGTTTATGAGAGCACCTAATTTTTGACAATAAATTAAATTTTCGAATACTTACTGTTAACAGTTGATGAATATACTGCAACACTTGAGGTAATGAATCTAAATTGAATCGAAATTTTCCAACGGAGGTATGCCAAATATCATCGCCATCTTCTAAATCATCACCATTCTCTTCTATTAATGTTTCATTTTTGTCAGTGTCACCTAATCCTGATATATTTTTTTGTGATTGTGCTTTAATAATTTGATACGAAGGAAAAAACGTAGCAGTATTATTGAATTTATATTTAAATAAATTAAGAAACAGATACATAGTTGAGAAATAAAAATAAAATTTGAAAAAAATAATGACATAAAATAATAAGCAAGAAAATTTATTTTTTTATAAAATAAACTTTTACCATCGGTTTCTTGAATAGTTGAAGATCTAGCGACACCTGTTGTCTTTTCTGGTATTATGGCTGACAAATCAAATTGTTCACCTGTGTCAACTGTTGCTGTCATAATCTATACATATACACATTTATGTTTGATTGTTTTTTTTTTTGTTTTTGTATTTTTGTAATTTAAAAAATTAAAAAATAATAAAATTTTAAATATTAAAATTGCATAAATTTCTCTTTTTTTGGCAATATAAAAAAAATAATAATTAATATTTTTAATTAATAATAAATAATTTTAACACATTTATATTTTCATTCTATTTAACACACTTTAACATTTAAGTATTTTTAAAATTGTTTTCTTTAATCTTTCTTTAAGTAAATTTATATAATAAATCAGAAAATAAAAGTATGAAAAAAATTTTTTTTTTCAAAAATGTTGAACGTAAAATAAAAGAATATTATTTTTCATAAAAGAAAATTAATAAAAAAAAAATAAATATTGTGCTACATCAATTTGGCTTTTATAGTGATTTAATTCGTATCTAAATAATTTTCTTGGGGAGGAAATAAAATGAAAATATTTTAAAAGAAAATGAAAATTAAGATAACATTAAACAAAATTGAAAATTAACAGCAAAAATTAAAATAAACATGTTACATATTTTACAATATGAAATTTAATAATTGAAATTTCAAGTTTTTGCTTTAAAAAAAAGAAACATAAAATTTAAAAATAAAACAAAGTAATTTTTAATTATATTTACAAATGCAAATTTGAAATACGATATACTTCATAAAAAAAAGCAGTAAGCACACGGTACATAGGGCAACAGTGTACTTCATAAATTTCAAAATTTGATAGATTGACTATAACGTTTACTAATTAAACTTAGATTCTTCTTATATAAAGTATAAGATGAATTCAAGAACATTGTTAACACCAGCACTACCGAAGCACTTCTAGAACTAAAGAGCAAGAAGACGACGAGCGTTATACAAACGTAAATCCTTGATGAGTACTAAATTAAATCAACTAATTATGATCAGAAGTGTGCTATTTTAGTAGGCAAATGAAAATGAGCTGAAACACATAAAGAAGTGAAAGATTATATAAATTATGATTAAACCGTCTCAACGACTAAACGATTTTGGAAGGAAAAATGAGCAACTATTCCTTTTACATTAAAAAGGAAAATTTAAACACAGTATTATGTAAGTAAAACTGTTATGTATAGTACAGTATTATATCGTTTTAAGAAATATATTTTGTAACTCAATTATTTTGTATATTACATTTACATATTGTAGGGTATTCCAGGAGTATATCATATTTCATTAACAATAATAAATTTAATTTGTGAAATTATAACAGAAAAATCAAAATTTTAACAATTATATTTTCAAATAAAAAAATTTCAAAAAACGACAAACATCAAATTTCTGTATTATATTTTTTTAATCATTTTTTAATTGTTTTTAAGTCAGTTTTTGAAAATGTACACACATACAAGATACTTTGAGCCGACAACATTTAAAAGAAGAATTTTGAATGTTTTTTTTTTTTCTTATTTTTGTTTAAATTTTTTTTTTGGTACGAGTATATTATATAAAATGTAAAACATATCGAATTTTTTTTTTAATTGTATAAGTTAGAAAAAGAAAGATGAATAGCGATAAAAGAAAGTTTCCAATTCTAAAAATGTAGAGAAAAACTTATGTTTTGTTTTTGCCTTAGAATGCTTAGAAAGTTTTCATTTTACAACAATGTTGATTTTAATTAAGTTTTTGCGTGAAAAAGGAAATAAATAAGATAAAGAGCCACTTTTTTTTTTTCTTCAAAATATATAGTGTTAAAAAGTTTTGAAATTCATATATTTCTGAAGTTATTTTAGAAGCATAGAGAAAGCAAATCATTTTGCAGGAATATAGCAGTAGTTTTATAAAGTTGAAAAAGAATTTAATAATGATGAAAATTATTTTCATATAAAATGTGCGAATCTTGTACAATATTTAGAAATTGCGTTAGCAGAGAAAAAATAGTCGTAAATATAAGGATCATATTCAAAAGGCAGAATTATACGATCTTGATAAAAAAAATTTATAGAAAATATTTATTTTTTTTTCTTATTTCCATAAATTTTATCAATATATAGCAAAAGATTTTTGGAGGATTGAATTTATTCAAAAATTATTAAGACCCTTAAATATTTATTGTTAATATAATAATTTTAATAAAAATGTCATAAAATATAGCATCCCTAATAATCTTCCCTTCCTTATTATATTCGCTTATTATAATAAGGAAGGGAACTATTTGTTTATCAATATGAACAACTTCCACACAAACATACATATATGAATTTAATTATGTAAATAGTCTCGAATGAAGGTAAAAGCTCAGGAAATAGTAAATTGCTCAGATGATTTGTTCAAAAACCGATTTGCTATTACTGTATACTCGAAAAACTAGAGCAGTAATTATAAACGGTATGACAACTTAAGTCAGTTTAACAATTAATTGTAGTATAATTAATTTAATTTAATTTATTATAATATTAAAACAAATTTACTGTTATTTCTTTGCTTTTAGACAAATTTGGTAAAATTTGTTGTTTGAAAGGAATGAGTTTCTCAAAATTGAAATTGCTGTTTTTGATTGTAGGTGATACCAAAAAAAAAATTTGTTCTTAGATATTAGCTAGGGTATGTGAATGTACAGACGGACGAATATACTAAACCCAAAAATTTGAATTAAAGAATTTCATTTTTGATATACTGAAAATTATTATAATATAAAAATCAATCAGAATATTGAATGTTTTAATTTAATTTGAGTCAAAATAATTTTTGAATTTATTCGTAGGTAATTCAAATTTTATAATTTAAAATGCAGGTTGAGTGTTTTTAAGAAGCAAATGCAGGTGGGTTCATATATATGCATATTTACAGAAAATTTTAAAATAACATTAAGAAAAAGTTCTTTCACAGCTGAAGAGTATTTAAACCTTCTATATATAGAGTATTTTATTAAACAGTCATATGATATATTTATAAATATATAATATGCACATGTAAAAGTATGCAAAAAAAAAAAAACAAAAAAAAATTTTAATTTAATTTTATAGATGAACAATATTCAAGCTTTCTCCTTAAGATTTAATTATTAATGTTATTATATAATAATATGTATTGAAAACTGTTGTATATATAATTAATTGAAAATTATATATGTATATATACATATATTTCATTTTATGTAGAGCTCTTTTTTTCAATATAAAATTTTTTTTGCAAGATAATATGAAACAATGAATTGATTTTATATTATTAAGTGTTTTATGTATTTAGTATATTATATATATATAGTATAAATTGTATTATATACATATATGTATATACATATATAATATAAAATGTCTTGTGTGTCTACAACATATATTTACATAAATGATGTATGTATATATATTTTTATAAGTATATAAATAAAGTTTTATATATTAAATGTATATATTTTAACATGTTCATATGATATATAATGTTATATCTATACATTTATTTATATATATAAAAAAAAATTGTATTTTTGAAGTGTATTTTTTTTTCTTAACGAACATGTTTTGTTTTTTTTTCTTTTTTGTTTTTTTTTTTAACACAAAGTACCTCGTCTGTGGCTTGAACGTTTCTTGTTAAATCATTAGTATTTTCATTAGAACGGCCACGTTCATTTGTCTAAAATATATAAATAATAAAGTTTTTTTTTTACTTGGCATTAAAGGTTTTGTGAAACTAAATTGTTTTTGAATAAATTTCTTGCTAATGTATGTTGATTCTAAAAAAAAACATATTAAAACAAAATGACGATTTAAAATAAGGTTTAAAAAAAAAAAACCAAAAGGTTAATATTAGGTATCGCACATATAACAATTAAAAAAACAATTTAAAACAATTATTATACAAAAATCTAAAGGCAAATATAAAGTATTTTTTATTAAATCCGTAATGTTATAATATTATAAGAGAAAGAAGTCATTGCAAAATTGAACAAATTTAAAAATTGAATTACTGAAACATCCGGTATGCATCTATTAAGTGCCATTTGTTTTTATATCAAAATTATCATAAAATTTAAATAAGCTTAAAAATTAGTAGCAAGACTGAAAGCTAATTTCTATTAATTTTTACTATGGGAAGAATATTTGAACTGAAATTATAATATGAGAGTATCTATTACTAATACATGAGAGTATTATGAGAATCCTTGATACGGAACACAAACTTATTTACGACATCTTTATTAGATAATAAACAATATAGTTTAAATTTAATGGTAATTTGGAATTCTATAACACGAATCACCATTTTGCAATAAAATTATTTCGTGTTTGTAAGAATTCGCGTTAAGGGGTAACTCCTATATAGTAAAGGTAAAAATAAATATGATCCAAAATGAAACTTAACAGTTTGAGTTTAATTGAATTTCGTCTTATGGTAGTGTACGTGTAGGCAAACTCCTATGTGCCTGTACTTTAACAATTTTATTTTGGGTAGCATTTTTTAAAAACAAGAAAATTTATAAATAGTTTACAAGATTTTCAAACAATAAAAAATCTCTTTTAAAAACGTATATAAATATGTTACGTAACATATTTGGGGTGAGTTGAAAATACAGAATCAAATTGAATGAATAAAAGTATTAAAAATGTTTGCTTTGAATTATATAGTTTATAATAAATTTTAAGAATATATTTCGATTATAATTTTTAAAGAAAAATGTTAATTTAATGTTATTATAGAATTTACAGACAAGATTAGGTAACCGATTAATATAAAATATCGTATGTAAAATCTTCATATCAACACCCTATATTCATCAATCAGTAAGAAAATATTTGTTAAATTTTTAGTATAATTTAGTTCTCAATTTAATTTAATTTGTAAATTATTTTTCTTTATGATTTAACAAATAAAAAAATTTTACAATACTAATGAAAAAAAAAACGAAGCAATTTACAAAATTAATTAAAAATGCCTATCACTTGAATATCAAATATAAAATTATTACACAATAGAAAAAAATTTAATAACAATTATTATAATTATAAAGTGAATTTAATTGTGTTATATTTGTGCCATTTATGAGTTTTTTTCTTATTTTTTTTTTTTTTCAAACTTTTAATTTAATTTTTTGTTGATCTTTTTATTTTTAATCAAATACAGAAAAGTACATTAAAAAATATTTAATTTTTAAATATTTGCCTAGCAATATGCAAAATAATATTAATTGTATTATTTTTTATTTATGTTTGTAGCTATGTATATATATATATAAAAAATTCTTTTGTTAATAAAAATTTTATATAAAAAATTTTTAAATTTTTTTTTTTTGTAATTCAATTATTTTTGTTTTAATAACCAACATTAAATTTTTGTTAAAAAAAATGTATAATTTTACTTTTAAATATTTTATTAAATTTAATTCAATACATAATAAATATTAGTAAATAAAAATAAAATATATATTCACTTTAAAATAAATAAAAACAAAAAAAAATGTTTATTAAATTATAAATAATAATTTTACTATTTTATAGGTTATACATACAGAGCATACGTGTGGCATATGTACTAGAACACCTCCAACTGAATGTGGTTCTGGTTGTGGTACTGCAACTGGTACTGGACCTTTGTAGTTTTTATTTTATTTATAACGAAAAAATAATTTTATGAAAATTGAAAAATTCGAGAGAAAAAATATATTGAAAAAAAAAATGAAAAAAGAAAAATTTTGTTAATATTTATATTAAATTTAAAAAATATTTATAAAATCAAATAAAATTTTTTTTTATATTTACATTTGTACAAAATCAACTATTGAAGTTGAAAAACAAAATGATTTTATTTATGAAAAATAAATAAAATCACACAAATTCAACTTTTATCTTTCTTATAATTAATTTTATATTTAATTTTAATTTTAAGAGAAACAGTTTTGTTTAAACAATTTATTTTTATCTGAAATGCAGAGGAATGAATTTGCCATCTCTGCCATTTATTTTCTTTAGTGTACTTCAATTTCAAAGAATTATAAACATATGATAAATTGAATTCGACAGTTTGAACTATTTTTTATTTTAAAGTCAAGTGAGCTTTGTAAAAAGAAACAAAAAGTTGAATTTGTTGAACTATTAAAAATGAAATTAAAAAATTAGTTTTTAAAGATTTTATAGAGATAAAAGTGAATTTATTTTATAGACTTTAGAAATTAACTTAAAAAAAATTAAAAAATATTTATGAAAATTTAATAAATTTACAAATTTAAACAAAGCACATTAAAACACAAATATATTTTAAGCAATTATCTTTAATGATAGTATGTTACGTATGTTTATGTGTTAATTGTTTTGTCATTTTTCCAGAATTAGATTCTCTATATTTATATTATTTTACTCTTGAAATTATAATTTCATCTAAAAATTTTAAAATACAATTTTTGAAAATAAATAAATCTTAATTATAATAGAAAATATTATAATTAAATAATTTAACAAAATTTATACGAATAAAGGAAATTTTCGTGAACATTATAGTTTTTTTGTCATGTAATACTTTTCAAGAGCAAAAGCTTTCAAATAAATTGAGTAATTTTCTTCGAAAAGAAGGATACACACTTGTGCAAAATTTAAACCGAACAAAATATTAGTAGGAGAAATAGGAATACAAATATAAAAATTTGCGGTTCAATATTATGTATAGGGAGAGAGCAAGCTTAATATAGAAAGTTCTAAAAGCGATCAGTATGATTATTATTAAATATACTTTACGCTGATCGTATATGTATAATGTAAGCTATATACAAATTGCAAATGAGTCGACAAAATTGAGTTGAAAGCCTGTGAATTTATTAACAATTCAGAATGTTGGGAGCATGATATAGTTTTAAATATATATTATATAATATAAGTTTTTTTTTTGGAAAAAATATTACAGATAAATTTTATTATTAGCTTTGTGAATAGGTAAATATAGAATAAAAATTTAGATAAATCTTTATATAACATGCATTTTAATTGAATTTAAATATGAATTTTAAAATTATTAGTATTTAAATATAAAATTTAAATTTAATTAAAACTATAGGTGTAAAATATAGAAAAGGTATAAATAGATCGAAAATCGTAATTAATTACCCGTGTGCAAATATGTATAACGTATATATTTAAAAGATAATATATAATATAACACTTATGTATGTACATATTTAGAGTATAGTTTAAAAGCAAAATAATGATATATGCAATAAGATATACAACTATTATAATGAAAATAATAAAATTATATAATACGAGTATTACAATTATGTATACATAGGTGAACTAAATTAAATTTATTTGAAAAATTAAAAGAAAAATTATAAAAAAACCTTTCTATAGGTTTAGAATTAAGAAGACCCATGCTATTAAAATAAAAATTAGAAATTATGAATTTTCTTCGTTTTATTCAACATGTGGTGTGTTAGAATTTTTCTTTAAATTTCTTGAATTTATTTTATTTTGTTTTAACATAAAATTTTGTGAATTAATTTTTGAAATTAAGTGTTTATTTGTTTTTGTTGATAATGTTGAATTAAAAATTTTATTTTATTATTGATTTAAATATTATAAATTTATTAAAATTTTTAAAATTTTTTTGTGGAATAATATTTATAACTGTGTTTTTAAGTGTATAATAATAATGTGTATATTGCATATATATGTATATTTTTGTGTATAAATTTTTAATACTCATACATAATAATTTTGTAGAAAAATAATGGATTTAGTAAACTTTTTATTAATATTTTATATTAAAAAAGAGCATTCCAAGTAAAAATTTTCATACATACTAATATGACTTAAGAAAATAAATAAGGGTGGAACTAACTAATTAAGTTATATTTAATGGAAAAAGAAAAAAAATAATTAGATAAATTTGATATTAGTGCAAAATTTTTTTTCATCTACATTGCACATAATTGCGGGCACATTCTAAAAAATCTTAATGATGCATATTTTTTTTCCTGAATATGGTTAATGTATTATTATAAATTTATTTAATATATAGCTTTGTATATATACATACGAATAAATTTGATAAATTCTTTCGAAAATTAATAACAAAATTTTTTAATTTTCCTAATTTTTATGACTCTTTTAAGCGTATTAAATAATTAAAGTGAAATTCAAATGAAAAATTATTTATAGATAATAATTAATTTACTATGGGTATCATAAATAATTAAAATATCATAATAATTAATGATTTAAGTAATCGCAAATCAATTTTACCCAATTTATAAGCAAATTTTTAAAAAATTTATTGTTAATATGAAAATACTGATTTGAAATAAAAATATTTTTTTTTTTTTAGTCTAATCAATATTAAGCTGGTGTAGAGATTTAGAAAAATACTGTTCAAAATAAATTAAGAAAAAAATTTACATAATACTAAAATTCTATGAGTACAGTTTCTTATAATCATCCGTGTAAATTTAGATTTTTTAATTATTAAGAAAATTACTTTCGTGCAATTTTCACTTTTCGTAATTGAACCAATAATTTGAAAATAAAACCTAAACAGGTTCAAGTTCTTGATAAATTTGTATTAGTACTTTTTAGTACTTGTAGTAATACAACAATTAATTCCGAAGCAAAATAAAAAGAAAAGCATAGATGCCTTCCAAAAATTTGCAAATAGATTTTTTAATTTAGATGATTAATAAAAAAATTTTAAATGAGAAGCAAATAAAGTAATTATAGATAAATAAATAATAAAAAGATTAATTGAATATTGGACACATTAAAAACACTTGGGTATGTCACAAACCATCCAACCCGATTTAAGGCAATTAAAATTGCTAAAAACACGAATTTGTTTTATATTACATTTTACAGCTATGTTGCCAATTAATAATGGATGGAACATTTTATTGCATGAAATTGTAATAAAATTTAAAAAATTTTAATTGCATTACAGAGGAATTTTAATAATTTTAAAAATTTTTAGAACTATGTAAGTGAATTAATATTATTTTAAAATCAAATTTGCAAATAATGTTTAAAGTTAATAGAAGATAATTGACAAAATTTTGAACTTACCATAAATTAAAAAAGAAATATGCAGTTATTAAAAAATTAAAAAAAATTCTAAATTAATTTTCGAAAAGAATTCGATCATGATTTAGGTCGTGTTTAGTTTTTTTCTTCTCATTAAAAAATACTTTGGTAAAAAATTTTTTGAATTAAATTAACTAAATATTAACAATTATAATAATTATGGTATATAATATGAGTATGTATGTATGTATATTAAGAATAGAATTTTATACATTTTATTTTTATTTATTATAATATTCATATGTATGTGTATTGATTTTTTATATTAATTTTTGTATTTTATAATAAATTATTTTTAAGTATGGTAAATTCTTTTTTTAGAAAAAAATTAAATATTTCTAAAATAAAAAAATTCAAAATTAAAATCTTAAATTAAATTATAATTTTACATTTTGGTTAATTTTTGTATTTAAATTTGTTTTGAATGATCACCTGCCATAATTAATATTTTTCCAGTCTCGTCTGGAATAAAAGGGATTCCTTTGGATATTGCGGTGATTGTGCGGGATAATTTTTGATCATTGATTAATGAATGTTTTGTTTATTTTAAACATTTTGTTTTTTTTTTACGAAATATAAATGATTTTTATATTTTGTTATAGTTATTTTTTATTACATAAATATAAATATATATATGTATAAAATATTATGTAAAAAATATATATAAAAAATGTACGTGACACAGTTACAGAAGAAGGACAATATTACAGGATAAATTCATTTTTTTTAATATTTATAATTATAGGATGATTTAAAAAACAAAATAAGAAGAAGAAGAATAAGAGAGAGAGAGAGAGAGAAAATAAAGATATGAATTATTTTTTCATTTCTTATTATTATAGTTTTTTTTTTATTATTATTATTTTTATTATACAAAAGGATATAATAAAAAATTTTAAAATGAATTTTAAAATGAGAAAAGAAAAAAAAATTTTAAAGTAAATTTAATTATGAAAAAGTATGTGAAAAAAATGACAAAAATAATTTTTTTTTTTTACCTAAAAACAAAAAACTAAAATGTGAAAAAAAAACGAAATAGAATTATAAAAATTAAAAAACAAGGATAAAAACATTTTTAGTCAATTTTTAAAAAGGACACTCAAAGTGAATATAACAGTAAAGTGCAACAAAAAAATTTTTTTTTAAACTATATTTTTTTTTCAATTTTTTAGTTAATTTCAATTTGTACTCAAAAAAAAAATAAGTATAAAAAAAATAATAAAACAAGAACAAAGAAAAACTAAAAAAAAAAAACCGGCGTTGTGAAAAGTTTACAGCTAATCTTGAAATTTACCAGCAAAACCACCTAATGGACCTAATGGAATTGGTAAAGGTGCCATAGAGAGCGAAACATCTCTTGATTTTTCTTTATCATTTTCTGGTGGACTTTTACGTGCTGATTTCTCATCATCAACATTTTCTTCGATTGGTGGCTAAAATAACAAAATTTTAATTTTTATTTGGCATTTCATAACTAAAAATATAACTTTATCAAAAAACTTACATCAGGTGGGCGAACTGGAATTTTAGGGGCCATAAATTGAACTAATTTTGATGACAATTGATGCCACATAATTGATGCCTCACAATAAGCACATTCTGCTACCTAAAATAAAAAGCACATATTGTATATAAGTAATGCACAATATATACATATTTTTTTTAATATAAATCATACTTTTAGAGCGCAAACATGACTACTCAGTCCAACTCGAGCTGCAGTAACCATACATTTAATAAGACGACATACATTTTCACAAACATTTGTATGTATTCCGGTATGCTGTTCAACATCCTGTAATTCCATCTGTTTAAGTAATATATCCAACATTAGAATACAACAAGTTAAATTATGTTCAGCATCTGTTGAAAATTCGGTATGACGATTTGTGGGTGCCTCATCATCAGATATAGCTGAGGTATTTCCTGAATCATCTTCTACGACAGGTGCTTTAAATATCAACGAATTATTAATATGTAATCCAAAGATATATATTTATTTAACTCACAAATGGAACTTCTTCTCGGTGGAGCAGATAGTGTATCCTTTTCTTTTTGAGCGGGTTTATGTCCTTTGCTTTCTTTTTCTTTTAAAATTTCATGTTGAACTCCATATTTCATTATGCGAACACCATCACCGAACATTGCAAATAACTGTGACAATGGAATTAAAATTTCAAGTTTTGTAAGTATTTGTAACCAATGTAATGCTTGTTGTTGAACTTTTGCAGTTGTTTTTTCAAAACGTATTGCAACAAAATTATACATGGTTTTTGCATCAAAACCTAATGGTGACATTTCAGGATCTAAAATTTTACTCAATACAATTTTTAGTTCTTGCAATTCTTTTTCGCCAACATCATTTGTGATCGCTTCCATCCAATGTGGCATAACATAATCCCAAATTTCTGAAGTAATAACTTCGTATGGGACAAGACATATTAATCGTTGTAGTCCTTCTTTTAAATGACTAGTTCTAGAAGCTAGGGTTTCCCAATGTCCACCTACTCTTGAATATTCTGGTGGATGAGGTAACAAACAACCAATAAAAGTCTAAAATATATATAAATTTTTAGTATTCTGTGCAAATTCTCTTAAATAATTTGTACGTTATAATGCTCTCTGCATATTTCCTTTAACCAAGCACAAACATGTTCAATCTTTAACTTCTCAATTGCGCTCTCTATTTGACCAGCAGCTAAAAATGTTTTAAAAATTTTATAAAGATATTTACGATGAATTTATTTGTTCAAGCATTTATAGTCGTTTACTGTACCATCATAGCTGTAGGCTGTGACATGAAACCAATGAAACAACATTCCTAATAACCTTCCTAAAGTTTCAATGGGCGTATCCTTTGTTGGAGAGCATCTGCCAACTAATAACCATATACCATATCGACCTAACAATTGCCTTTCTTCTATTGAAATATTATCTTGTAAACCATTACTATTTCCATTTTTAGGCTCCGCACCAGGTGTGCCAACACTTCCAGAGGCTTCTCTTCCAGCTGGTTCAAAACATAATGGTTTTGATTCTCTTAAAAGACTTACAACACTCTCAATCATATACATTTGCATTTCAGCATCCATTTGAAAAGCAGGTGGTAAACTACGATGAACGATGTGATCTCCTCCACGACGAGCATTATGACGATTGTTATGGCATTGTAAACAATAACGAATTGGATGATTTCCATTGTAACTAGCACATTCAGTTGAAAAACAAATTGAATATGCTGCTTTCTCATTTGATCTACAATTTTTATTTTCACAAACCATCGAAACTTGTTGCATTGGATGTAACATGTCACCAAAGGTTAAATTGGGATGCTCTCTATGAATTTCGTTGGCACACTCAATACATAAATATAATGGTGGCGGACAGTCTGGAGCGTAAGCAATACTGATACCATGATCAAAGCAAACTTTTGCTGCTTCTGCATTACCAGAATTAGGGCATTGCTCACGTTGGCATACAAATGGTATTAGGTCATCTGAAAATATTTTAAAGTATTAATTTGAATTTACCATAGGTGTAACTATAATTACTAGTTAATTTGCTTAATAATCCTTTTCTATCAAATAAATTTGGATCAAAAGCAGGCCAATAATAAAAAAGCAGCTTTGCTGCGGAAGATCTTGATTGTGCAGTACCATATGCAATTACACAAAGTATATCTTTGGCAACATTATTCTTTAAAGCCATTAAACACTCCAAGAGTTGACAATGATGAGCTGCGAAAAAAAAATGTTTAAGAAATAAAGTGAAAATATTTTTGCTATAGCACATTATATTAAGAATTACAAATATCAACTATTTGAACTATTATAAGTCAACTATTTTGCTTTGACTTTGAATGCAAATTTGATAAGATACATACATAACTCATTTAAATTGACCTAAATAGTGTTATTGTTGCCTTTTATTTTTTCGATTTATTAAATTTTTTTTGTTCAAACTACAACAATATAAAATTACCAGGATTATTTGAATATTGGAAGACCATCATAATTACAGCTGATACTGATTGAGCTGCTTGGCATACTTGTTCCTCTGGACTTTGTCGGGCTACAAATGAATTGTTTCAATATTTGATATTCTATTTTTTCAAGTACAAAATTCTTTAATTAAAAAGAAAATACAATCAACTTACTAATAGTAAAAGGTAATATATAAAAGCATAAAGCATTTATAACATCTTGATGTAAAATTGGTGGTAATACTGAAATTGTTGAACTGACTAAATATGGTAAATTATCAATTAAATCCTTATCCAAAAATGGTAATATACAGCAAAAACATTGTACTAAAGCTTTTCCAAAATCAACTATTCAAGACGCAAAAATAAGAAAGATTAAATCACAAGAATTTTATTAATTTTCTTTTAGATTTTTTTGTTCGATTTTTGTTTCTTAGCCTTGTTCAACATACCAACTTGTGAATATGGTATACATGGTGCAACATCTAATAACATTGTTAATGCATTATATAAATTTCCATATTCCAAATTTGGGTAGGCAGCCATTCTTGTCTGATCCATTGTTGGATCTTTAATAAGTAAGTGTGGGGAATTTGGCACATCTTTTAATACAGCTGGAATTAATTGTAATTGTAAGGAATGTTATAAAATAAAATTCTTTTGCCATTATAAAATTTTTGTTGTGTGTTATTTTTTATATTTAATAAAAACTTCAAAAATTTGTGAGTTTTGTATTTTTTTTTTTTTTGGACAAAATAAATTATTTTTAAATCCTACTATGGTAAAATATTTACTAAATATTTATATTAAAATTATTATGAAAAGCTCTATATATGTATAGTAAATTTATAAGTAATTAATATATTTATTGAAAAAAAAAATTAAATTCTAGAAAAAATTTATACTAATGTACTTTTGCTTAGTATATATTTTTTTTAAAATTTATCATATTGTACAAATATTTAAAACTTAAATAAAAAACAAAAAAAAATGTGGTTCAAGCGAATCAACCAAATTCATTTGCCACAATTGTGCTTTTGCATTGCTTTATAAAATTTTTATGAATTTAAGTAAGAAAAATAAATTTGGTGTGTAGTGTTTAAATTTGGAAAATTTCGTGGTGCATGATTTTAGTGAGAGGGCAGATCTATTAAGATATAACAAAATAATTTAGCTTTATTAATTTTTTAATTTTTTTTATCAAATTAAATTAATTTTTTATTTTTGCTCTTTTTTTTTTGAAAATATTGTACAAGATTTCATTTTGAGCAATTTAAATTTGCATTAATTTTATTGTATGTTATATTAGGTTTTTGGTTATTATTGGTATACTGGTGCTTGTGTTTATTTAAGACTTCTGTTGTTATAAGCAATTTGTTAATTATTTTCTAAATTAATTTATTATATCTTAATATTGTGTTTATTTTAACATATATTCAAATATTTTATATTTAGAATTTTTTGAAAAAAAAAATGTTATAATTGTATGACAATTTTGAGTTGAAAAAAAATTATGCAATAAAATTAAAAACATCATTTGCAATTCCTTAAGCCAAGTTCAATATATATTTATATATATGTAGGGCGGAAAGAAGCGAAAAGAAATTAAATTTTTAAAATATATTTTTCAATTCGTATGTTTTAAGAAATTCTTTTAACATTCACATTGCATTCCGAGCGTTTTAAAATTACTTATGTGCTTTGGTAATATTGCATAAGATCTTAAACTATATTGTAGTAGATAACAGTAGCATTCATACATGTACAATCATCTACTGCTATAAGTCATACATGAAAATTCATGAAATTTGTGTGACTATTAATACTATTTAAAAATTTAATTTCATTTTTATTATGGTACAACAGATATATGTATATGAAAGCATAATTTTATTGATTTTCTTTTCTTTTTTTTTTGCTAAATGCTTGGCTTGGCTAAAGCTATATATAAGGATCAAGCTGTATGGGTTGCATATAATATTATTTATATTATAACATAGACAAATACATAATTAGGGCAATATCAGTTTTACTTTTGTTTTTTTTTTGCTTCCTTCGAATTCTATAATACATAAACCAATTTTTAGATATATGTATAATATATGAATATAAAAAAAAATAATCCAGGTTACTACGATATTACCATTCAATGCAAATAAAATTTTTCATTCATTGATTTATTTTCATATATTTATTTTTAAATACTTACATTTTTAAAGGAGAACCTTAATAATTTTAAAATATAGTCATAAAATAATTCCTATAATTTTTTTATAATATTAAATATTATTTGGAAAAAAAATATTAAAAAATGTTTATTCAAAAATTTTAATTTTATTTGGAATTATTGAAAACAACCTCAGTATAAAATATGTATATAGAAAAGGTGATAAAAAGTAGGATCGAAGAGAATATTCTGTGCTGAATAATTAGATAATTAAATACTTTGCGAATATAAGAAAAGGGCACTATTTTATTATAATATTTCAATGAACTTTTACAAGAAATTGTCAAAAATACAACATACTTATTATTTGTTTTGGGGTCACAACAAATTATATAAATATATATATATATATATGTATATATATATAGTCAAAAAAATATAATAAAAATTTGATTAAAATGTGTTCATAAATAGAAATATTGAACTAAAATTCCAAAGTCAAGAAATTGGTTTTAGCTCTAAATAAAAAATTTAATATAGATTGCCAAAAATGATATTATACTTTTAAACTAAATGAAAATTAAAAAGAAAATAGGATTCTAATATTTTTAGCTTACTATTAAGACGAGTCCCAAAACAATATACAAAATTTTATTAATACACTTTTAATAAATTATTCAAAGCAAATTTCAATGAAGTTTAGGAACAAGAATAAAATATTAAGAAAACTTAATTTTTCAGTGTAATGCTTTATTAGCCATATTAAAGTTTATAAGATATGACTATACAAGAGACTATATAAGAAACTATGAAAAAATCTTACATATAGTTTCCTATATAGCCATATTTTTTTTGTATAATTTTTACCAATAATATAAATAGGAACTCATACTTAATTATGTATTATAATTTTTAATATCGGACTCGCTTAAAGTATGCATTGCAAACGAAATACTCTAAAAGAACAATAAACAACTCAATGTTTTATAAAAATTCCAACTTAAAGGGTAATATTTAAATAAAAAGAAAAAACAAAAAATAATTTAAAAATAAAATTAAATAGAATAATTATTTTTCAAATTTTTTTTTTAGAAAAATTATGTCAAAGGGCTGGGAGGGACAAATGAATATTTTAATTTGAGATTTGTGATTAAGAAAAAGATAGCTAGTATATAGAAAATAAGTATCGTTACTAAGAAAATTTTAGAAATAAATTTAATTATATTCAATTGAAAAATTTTATTTTTGATTATAGAAACAATTCGAGCTGAAGTTTAAATGTTTCATAAAAAATTTTTGTTTTTTGTTGCACTTTTAAGTTGTTCAATATAAAATTTTTTTACAATTTTTATAAATTTTCATATATGTAGGTATATGATTTGTTTTATTATTTTTATTATCTTTGAGTTTGATTGTGTATAAGTGGAGGAAAATCGAATTAATTTTTTTTTTTTGTTTCGCCATTCATCATATAATATTTCATTACACAAGCATTATATTGATATTTGTATAGTGAAGTAAGTGTTTTTTAAAAATAATATCAAAAAAGTTCTTTTAAAATTAAATAATTAAAATTTAAATTTCATCATATGAAATCTCAGTATATAAAAATTTTCGAACTAAAATACCAAAACAAAAAAATGATATTTTAGAGATTTTCATAAACAGCAATGCAAAAATAACGTAATACCGAATATAGAATAAACGATTCGTACTTATTTTTTTTCAGTGTAATTTTCATTATAATATCGCGATATGATTGCGTGTTTATGAATATCTCTATTATTTTTCAATCTAATTACATTTATATTACATTTAAAATTATGATGAAAATTGCATATAATGAGGCGTCATATGATTTATTTTCCACATTAAATACCATACGGTTAATATATAAGTACTAAAAGTGTGTAATAATGCGTGTGATTGATTATTATTTGATAAATATACCATAAAATATTTTGTTTTTGTAATTTAATTAATTATTGATTTTTGTTTATTTATTTTTTTTTTTTTTGCTGGTAAAAAGTAACACAATCGTGGTAAATGCATGTCAAAAATGCCAATTCAAATTAAATATTAACTTATTCGAAAAAAAAAAATTTTTTTTTTTGTAATTTTTAAAATTGTCAAATATTTCAAACCAATCCAAACTCATTCCATTCAAAAGAAAACGAATTTTGTTTTAAAAATATTTTATTCTTTCTTTTTTATTCTAAAAGTTTTTGAAAAATCTTAATTTTATATTAATGAAAATACAACGAAAATGAATTTTTAAAATAAAATATTAAAAAAAAAAAATAAAATGAAAAAATTTTTGAAAATTATAAATTTTTTTTTTTTTGTAAATTTTCTAGAATTACCCTTTTTTTTTTTTAAAGTTTTATACTTTTGAAATATGCACTGTGTTGTGGCAAAGAAAAGTGAAAGTGTATAATAAGATATATAAGAATATAAGATAAGATAAGTTAAGATAATTATAGGGTTAAATGATATTATATACTTTGAAAAACAAATACTCAAAAACTATAGTTAGCGGATAAAGGTTTCTTTTTTGTGATAGAAGAGAAGTATAATAATTTCCATATAATTATAATTTATAATATAATAGTAGTAATAATAATTTTGTAGTGTTAAAATATAAATGTGAAATTTTCAGAAATTTTTTTTTTTATTTACTTTTACAATTTTATTTGATTTATTACTACTAAGAACGTATCAAATGTGTTGCTGCATATTAAAATAGGCAAATGTGTTGCTGTGTATTAAAATATATGACATTAAATGTGTTTTAAGTTTTCGTAATACAATGTTATACTATAATTGAATAAAAAGTTTTAAACCTCATATGTATTCCCTGAATCAATAAAATTATTAAGGTCAAACAAAGCTCAATTTAAAGTTTCAAAAATTAGCTTTCATGTGTATCTGAATTCTAATTTGAGAAGTAAAATAATATTTAATTTGAGTTTTTATACGAAAAATACTGTTCTTACTATGTTAGTTTTTACTTGTTTTTTTAGCTTTGTAGATTTATAGATTTGAATAACGGGGGCCACAGTGTACCGCGACCACGTATAAGGATCTATTGTGCGCCCTCATCCGAGTGCGGAGCATGCCCTACAACACACGCTCGTGACCCACCCACTGCTAGAGCAAAGCCTCCCAGCACCTCCCCCCTTCTACGAGCAAGAGCATCACACTCTCTCAGGAGGTGCACCGAGGTCTCTCCATACTACCCACAGAATCTGCAAGTATCCTCATTTTCCAGGCCTAGCCGACTGAGGTGTCCCCTAAGCCTGTAGTGACCCGTCAAAATGCCTGGTTCTTGCCCACCCCTATAATTTTCTTAAATCGCTTCTGTTCATAATCTCCCAGGAGCTCCTTGGCTTACTGCATCCCTGGAAGACTTCTCCAGCGCTCTGAGCGCCTTCTTTCTGATTCCTTCCTTTACTCCCAACGAATAGTATGTGGTCCGATTCCACAGAAGAGCTCCTGCCCAAGAAGAGATGTGTTTGCCCCCTTCCTTGCAAGCGCATCAGCGGCCTAATTTCCTTCCACGCCCAGCACCCAACACAGTGTAACCCGGTTGCATCTGCCTAACTCATTGAGCTCCTCAAGACAGCTTCATACTGGCGCGGAGGATACTGAAAACGAGTTTAGCGCTCCGATCGCAGCCCGCCTATTCGACATAATCATTATTATTAGCTTTAAAAGTACTGTAATTAGTTTTTAGCTTTAGAAGTACTGTAATCCCTCTCTTAAATGGTTTAGGAAAAATAAAGTTCATATTTCTCAGAAAATGCTTACTTCATATAAATGGAATATTTTTACTTCACACAAATGGTAAATTGAAATTTGTTTGATGTGTTTTTATTTGACTCTTTTTTCATTAAATTTCAGTCCTAGAATGAATTGCCGCTTTTCCTATTCTTGTAATTTTTTTTGTGAACATATCTTTATTTTGATTTTGCATTTACTTAAATTTATTTGCGCTTTTCCAAAATTTTTGTTTACTAAGAAACAATACACTTAAATACTGATATGATGAAATACTTTCTTTATGCAATAATCCTATAATATGTATGATTTCTAAAGAAGAAAGTAATTTATGGTAACCATCCGTCTAATTGATTTTGATTAACATTGCTCGTTGGCTTCGAAATAAAATTGTTTCATTCCACTTTAAAAAAAAAACTTAATGTTAATCGTCCTTAATCATCCTTAATTAACCTTAATCATCCTTAGTTTTTAAAATATTATTTTTTCTTATAATATAATAATAAACAACAATTTAATATATTAATTTATTTAATTTAATTATTTTTAAAATTTCTGAAAATTTCATATTTAAATTTTGTGTTGATATTTATAATTAACATTGTTGCAAAATGTTAACGTGTGAATAAATAATGTTTCTAAATTAAAAAACAAACAAAACAAAAATTCAAGAATAACTGGTTTACAGATAGAGAATATATAGGGAAATGTTTGAAACAAAACTAAACATAAAAAAAAACAGTGATTGTCATATACGTATCTTGTTTTTTTTTCTTTTCAAAGGTATTTTAAAAATAAAAATATTTTACTTGGTATTTTTGTTAAAAATTAAATTCTATTTAAAAAATAATTTTTAAACGGAAAAGAAAGTATTTTTTTATTATTGTTTAAAATTTTAAATATAAAAAAGGAAATAAATTGATTAAATTAAATGGAACAAAAGGGAAAATATAAAAGAAAAAAAAAACAAAAATAACAAAATATTTCGTGCAAATTTCTCAAAAATTTACTTGACAAATAAATTTTGTAGGTAAAACTTTTAAATTATATAATTTTAATTTTTTTTTTGGAAATTTTCATTTTGGAAAAAACTTTTGATTTTGTTACGTATATATATAATTTTTTTTTTTTGGGTATAACTTTACATTGGTCTCCTGGATATAAACCTTCCTTAAAAAACATACAGGCTTTGATAGTCCACAACAATTATTACATACGTTAAAATAAAGAAAATGAAACATTTTTAATTAATTACATATTGCTTACCAATGTTTATAAAAAATAAAATTAAAAAAATATATTTATAATAATTAATTAATAATTAAAAACGAAATATTTATATGTAATATTATGATTTACATATATGTATATATGAACATATAGTATATGTATAAATTTTATATAATATAATATATTTTAATGGAATAAATATATATATTTATATATATATGTATACAATATATAAACATACATGTAGATATATATATATATATATAATTATGAGTAAATGTTGAAATGTATATTAACATAGTACATGTACAGTGCAATTTATAAAATTTCAATATTGTAAATTTATTTTCTTGTTGATTTAGAGCAACCACTACCATAGCACGTTTCGGACACGTTCATAAAAAAATAATTGTCACTACCTTCTCAAAGTTTTTATTGCATTTTAAAATTTCATATACTTTTTCTTTAGTCATACATCTATTCTGTTATTTGTTATTTGCTATTTTAAATACAATTTTACTGATTTTTGGCGTTAAATGTCAAGTACAAACAGCGTCAAAATATTATTCAAAGATTGAATTTTGTAATGGATTTAATATTTAATATATTTTTTTGTTAAAGTTTGAATTTCTTCATTAAAAAATACAACGAATCTCTTATATTACTCACTGGGCTCACTCTTATGTTTGAGTTACTAAAATTAACATTTTTGTGAATTAGTGCAAATTTTCATTCGTTTTTATTTTGAATTTTGTTTCTTTAATGCAGAATATTTGCTTTAAATTACGGTAAGTATTATGTTCCATTCCACTAAAATTTCAGCGATATATCTGACCTGATATGGGACACCCGACTGCCAAGTTTCATGAATCTAGTTTTATTATTTTTCTGAATATATAAAATTAGCATTTGAAGTTGTATGGCAGCTACCCGAACCAGTGAAACCATTTTATTAAAATTTTTAGAACATATGTAGAATATAATTTGACACACCTTTGCAATATTTTATATTAATATTTCTATAAGTTTTTGAAAAATTTAAATGAACCCCTTTGGGTTGCTTGGCATCTACCCGAACCCATTGTCTGAATTTGATCGATTACAGGTATAGATAATATCTCTACAAAAATTATAAAACAATGTCAAAAGGAATTAGCAGAACCAATAACGACATTAATAAGTTCTTCAATAAGAGATAGTTGTGTACCTGAAGTGATGAAAATTAATAAAGTCATACCAATATACAAAAAAAACCGGTGACAAAAACAATATAAACAACTTTAGACCGATTTCTATAGCTTCTGTTTTTAGTAAAGTAATTGAAACATATGTCAATAAGTAATTTATAAACTATTTAAGAGATAATAATTTCCTGTCGAAGATACAATATGGTTTTACTAGAAATTCGAGCACCAATACTGCACTATTTGATGTAGTGAGTCATATACAAAACCTTGTATGCAAAAATGAAAAAGTTGGATTGGTATTTTTCGACTTAAATAAAGCGTTTGACTCTGTTGATCGCAAAATAATGTTACGAAAATTGTTCGAATGTGGCGTAAGAGGCAGAGAATACCATTGGTTTGAGAGTTATTTGAATCAAAGAAAACAATATGTCGAATGCGAGAATATAAAAAGCGAAAGTATGTTAGTAGAGTATGGAGTAATTCAAGGAAGTTCGTTGGGGCCGGTTTTGTTTGCGTATTACATTGACACCTTCTCTAAATTAAAATTAAGTGGACGAGTTTTTATGTTTGCCGATGACATAGCCATTGTATATAATGAAAAGTCTTTTGAAATTATGGAAAATATCATTAATGATGACATGAAATCTATACATAAATGGATGTGTCAACATAAATTATCGGTAAATGTAAAAAAGACTAAATATATGCTATTCAGCTCCAAGGAAACTGAAATTAATATAATATACAACGGAAATGTCATAAGTAAAGTAAAGAATTACAAATACTTAGGCGTAACCGTGGATCAAAATTTAAATTGGAATCAGCATGTTTCCGAAACTTTGAGTAAAACTAAGAGAATCGCTGGGTTATTTAAAATACTAGGCAGACGTATACCTGAAAATATCAAAATTTCAGTATACTACAGTCTATTTCATAGTATTCTGACATATGGAATAGGTATATGGGGCAATACATATTCGAAAAACATCAATTCTCTACAAAGAGTTCAAAATAAAGCTATTAAAAATCTTTTTTGCCTACCAACTAGAACTTCAACCAGTGAAATACATAAAAAATACAATATTTTAAAACTAAATGACTACAAAGAAATTATTCAATTATGCCATATCTTCAATGTTAAAAACAAGTACATAAAATCGAACACAATTCTAATAACCAATAATGAAATACACAACTATAATACAAGGAGTGCCAATGAATTCAGATACATCACAGGACCTGGTTTGAATGGTATCACACCAATTTCTGCTTCTTCCATAACATTATTTAATAATCTTCCCAACTACTTCAAAGATTCGTCCAAAACTAATTTTAAGAAAAGACTGAAGAAATATTACATGGATAAATACAACACCTAATATCCATAAAACTTACACGAACATTATAGTATATAATTAGTTGAATTTATATCTTATTACGTTGGAAATTTACAAATTCTAGTTAATGTTACTTATGTATGTAAATTTTGTTTTTATTTTCTTTTGGTTAATACTTGTTGTTAAAATACCTGAAATTAATGATTAGCTTTTTCTTTTATTAATCTTTTAAATTATTGTTCTTTTAAGAATTAGTTTAGACATAATGTATTCTTTTTTTTTTAAAGTTATATACTCTACGCGAGCTAAAACAGCTCATTTGAGATTGAATTAATAAATAAAATAAATAAACATTATTTAATTTTGAGTTATCGTGATATCGAACGGACGGACCCCTTTGGGTTGTATGGCATCTACCCGAACCCATTGTCTGAATTTGATCGATTACATTATTTAATTTTGAGTTATCGTGATATTGAACGGACGGATGGACATGTTTAAATTAACGCAAAATCTTACGCTATGCAATAATATATATTATATATGTCCATACCGGAGACGACTCCATTAAGTGATTATAAACTCCATACCAAAGTTAATATACTTTGCATGAGAATTAGGGTATAAAAACAAAATAGCATTTTGTATAAAGTGCTGCCATTGTGTAATAATATTCTTTAAACAATGTTATAAAACTAATTAATTTAAGCAATGTTATAAAATTGGGAAAAGTTTCCTAAAATGCACTGTACATAAGATGCATGATGTATGTGTATTAAATATATATAAATGTTTTGTTTTTTTTTTTTTGTTATTATATATTTAAATATTAAATTTTTAAAAGCATTCTTATATATTTTTTTAAAATATTTTTAATTCCAAAGTTTTTTATATATACTTTCTTAAAAAAAACATATATACATTTAAGAAAAAACTTACAAAAATCAAAACAAAAAAACTTCTTTTTTAATAATTTTTTTTTTTTTTTTAATTTTAAATATATTTTATGTATATGTATATATATATATATAATAATAATAATTTTAATAAACTAAGATGAAATTTTAATTAAATTTTCTTTTTATATGAAATTTTTAAATATAAATATGTATATAAATATGTAAACGTATATAAATAAATAAAAGAAAAATATTTTATAATTTTTAACATAAAAACTCAAACAAATAACTTTTAAAAAACCAATTTTTATTTAAAATTTTTTTTCCTTTTTCTTTTGTTCATTTCATTGAATTCCAATAAAAACAAATATAGGGTTTAATAAATAAAATAATAAAAATTTTATTACATAATCAAATATATAACATGATATATATATATGTATATAACACATTTATATATATATTTATGTATAATTAAATTTTAAATTTAAAAATTAATTTAAAAAAAAAATTGTTTTTGATTTTTGAATTTTTAATGTACATTTAAATGTTTAAATTTCTATTTAATTAATTATTTTATATTTAAAAAGTTTTTGTATTTAATCAACTAAAAAAAGTTGTTGTTTTAATTTTGTTTTTTTAGTATTTTTTTTTAATGTTTTTGGTCAGGAATTTTTTCTAGGAATTTTTTCTAGGAACAGGATGGATTTTTAATTCAAAAATTTGTTTTGTGTTTTTGATTATATTTTTTTTTTAATTTAACTTATTTTGTTTTTTTCTTAAAATGTTTAATTTACTAAGAGTTTACTGTAAATTATACAATTATTACATTTTATAATATATATATATATATATATATTTTTTTTCATATCATTTCTATATAGTAATGTTAAAAAGTAATGTTATTACTTACTCAGTAAAGTTTGAGAAAAATATTTAATTGTGTTTGCGATATCAATACCAGATGGTGCTGGTTGTGTATTATGTAATAAACGAATATGATATTCATGTAAGCAACGCAGCTTGGCTTGAACTGTTTTTTGTAATTTGAATAATAAAAAAATAAAAAAAGGAAATTTGGTGATTTTTTAGTATGTAAACTTTTACAATTTGCTTTACAAATAATAATGTAATATAATTGATGTAATATTAGGTATAATATAAATTTTTAATATATCACATTAATATAAGCGACATAATATTAAAAGCATTTTGCTATATTGGCTTTAAGAAACATTTTAATTTTAGGAGAATTAGATAAACTTTTGATGAAGTATTGATTAATAAAAAAATTAATATTTATGGCATAAAATTAGCAATAAAACTAAGAATTACAATATAATCAGAAAATATTTTTTTGGAAAGAAGGCAACATCTTAAACTTCGTTGATATTAAGAAGAAAATTATGGTGAAAAATAAACCACACTAATGCTTTTAATTTGGAATTCTATTTCTCTCCATCCGCGAGTTATTTTGTAATGAAATGATTCAAAATAACAATTAATTTAAGTAATTAATATATTACATTAATTAATATTCTTAGCGTGACGATATTTATAATTTGCAATCGACTGTCGTACAGTCATTTTAAATCACATTTTAATTAGGTTTCCATAATTATCGTTATTTTATTGTTATCATGTTGATTTCACATTATTATAACTTAATAAATACTATTATTATAAGTTTTTATGTAACATAAATAACACAAATTGTATTCCTTATTATTATTTTCAAAATAATTCTTCCATACAAATTTGTTCGATTTGGAAGGAATATCTTTTCTAATCTTTAAAGAAATAAACACTTTTGAATACTTAGTTGAATAAAAGGGGGCTTTCCAGCTGGTCATTTACATGATGTATACACTAGACAGAAACACGAACGCCCATCAGAAACTCTAAAATTAAAGGTGTAACAATACTTGCGCCAATTCACCATTTCGAGAGAAAATAAGGGCACGACCAAATAATCTATCGAAACCAATCAATCTCTTTATCGTACCACAAGAGTCGCTGAGTAGCCAATCAGACAAGCATTCTCGGCCGCCCCAGCCCTTGAAAAGCAGTTCGTTATCTCATTTTTCTATATTTTGCTATGTCCGGAAACCCAGATTGCAAAGTACAGTTAGTGTGAGCGTGTAACACACTATGAAAACTGATATAACTGAATATGATCCCTGGATCCCAATCGTTCTCAGCTTCTATTGACCCGAGGACCCCGATCGTTTCCAGTTTCTATTCCCAAAGATAACCAGGCTATCTTCTCTCGAATAGATCTGGTACCAACAAATTATGTGAGCGAATTTGATTCCACAAATAATTCAAAATTCCATCCTAAACACCCAAGGCAAAGAAAACTGGGGCAATTCTGTCAACGATTTTACTTTTCAAGACCCTCAAGATAAAATATTAAATATTGCTAACCTTTATAATTAATTTGTCCACGTACATTTTTTCAATTAAATAAATTAAAATAAAATTTCTTCATTATTATAATGAGGCTAATCAAAATATTTATTATTAAAATTGATTGTTAATTATCATTAACTTTTAATAGAAAACCAAATGAGGTGAAAACAATTCGCAGTTTAGTTTACATTCGATTACAGTAATATAAATTAATCAATAAAATATCAAAATATAATATTATGAATATTAAAAAAGAAAATTCTATACGTATATCCAAATGTATATAATTATATAAATAAATATAATCAAATATATACTTACAAGCCGCTGCTCTTGTGCCCATATTTATGAGCTGAACCTTGAAACTTCCGGTCATTTGAATAATTTATTCTTAGTTTTTTCCTTCAAAATCAGCATGCTAAAAATACATAAAAAAAACGAAAAAAAAAAACAAAAAAATACCGGTTTCTATTTCAAAATTATTCATTTACAAAATAATATATTTTATGTATACATTATATTATATACGTGCCATATACATATAATATACACATACATAAAATAATAAAAGACTTATATACTAGTACATATTATATATTAATATTAAATGAAATGTCAAATTTAACGTCAAACCGTATCATAAAAATTTATTTTTTTTCTTCTTTTTCGTCTAATTTAAGGTCAATTAAAGAAATTAGAATGACAAAAAAAAATTCTGGCGCCAATATTTTTAGCCGAAATATTATCAAAATTAAAATATATAACGGTTTTTATAACTTTATTATTTCTCAAAATCACAGTTATCATTTCGATATTTTTAAAAATCAAGGGTAAAAATAGCATTCATATATTTTAATTTTTTAATGTTATTATCCTTTTAACAAGTTAATTTCGTCCTTTTTATTTTCTCTATTTCATTTATTTATTATATTTTTATAGTTTTTTATTCTCTTCTATATATCTATACCTAACAGTACATTAACACTTTTTTCATTCACAAATAACAATTTTTTAATTTTATTTTTATATCGCATGTTCTTCATTCATAAATTTCTTATTTTATTTTGTTTCTATTTACATCCGGCAAAGGACCTACTTTAATACATACATGTATAAAATTTATAAAGTATAAGAATTAAATATAGAAGAAGAAAAAAAAAACATAAAATATCCGGCATGATTATTTTTTTTTTATTTTGGAGAAAGGGAAAAAAGTATATAAATAAATGGAAAAAAAAAATAATGGGGAAAGCAAGTGTTAAAAATTGTAAATATAAAGTATATATTTGGTAATTTATATTTTATATACATACAAATAAAAAATATAAATAAAGTAGAGAAAGTAAAAGTAAGTGATAACAATATACAAATGAAATATGAAGAGATCTAAGCGCAAAAATCCGAGTTGCAAAAACATATTGTGTAAATATATGAAAACATTTTTCTTGTTTACATTCATATGCATATTATGTGCATGTGTTTGTTATAAAATGTACATAAAATTGTTGGTGTGCCATGAAACAAATATGAAAGTTTCATTATTTTGTTAATATTTTTATGAATATGTGCAACAGCTGATTTTGAAACATTTCGAATTGTTTATAAAAATGATGCTTAACAGCTGAGATTTGAGATGGAAAGTATTTTATAATATCTACATTTGAAAACTAGGTCGCATGTGCAAAAAACAAATTTATTTTGCTATTTCTTTTTTTGTTGTTTTTTTCACACAATATGAAAATATTTTGTTTTTATGTAAAAGAGTGGATGCTATATATGAGAAAGCACGGATGCAATATTTTGGAGAGGGTTAAATTGTTTCATTATGTTAAATAATATAAAATAATTAATTTTATTCTTTTCATTAAATATTTTTTATTAAATGTGAATTATTCGATAATTTTGTATTTTTTTATTGATAATATTTCCTAATGTTCTAATTATTGTGTCAGCTTCAACTTGCCTTTCTACAATTTCCTTCCTAAATTTTTCTACAATTTTTAATTATATTTTATGACATTTATTAAATTCGTAAGTAGGCTTCTGAATTTTTAGTACTTTATAGAGGAAAATGTGTTATACAAAACTCCATTACAATATAAATTAAAAGCCTAATAAATTACATTATTAAAAGTAGCTATATAGAAAAAAAAATTAAAAATCATTTTGAATAATTTACAGTTTTAATGTAGGTACTCTTTAATCTGTCTTGTATAACATAATAATTATAGCATAACACGATTGAATAGTAAATATTCATTTTACCCAACTCAGAAATTTCATAAAGAATCCGTTTATGTTATTTGTGTACATGTATAATAGGGATACATAATATTTTAAGCTCCTATAGAAATTTTTGTTTTTCTCATATATAAGTAGTGGGAATAAAAATTCCAAGGTTTTTTCTTTAATTTTTGTATAGTTATGTTTTGGCTTTTCGTTTTTTTTTTTTGATAACCGAATAATAAAAGGACTTTTATTTCATAAAATACCCTAATATGGTTTCTCTTTCAGAATAATTTCATATTTATTATTTTCTTTATTTTTATTTTATAAGTGTTTTTTATTATTTCTTTTTTTTTTTGTAGGATTAAAACTTTTTTGTTGTATTTAAATTACAAAATTTTAAGTATAAGACAAAATGGTTGCTCTGAATAAAAAAGATGATACAGATTTTTTAGATATTTGTTGTTGGTTTTGTTTTGTGATAAAAGAAAATTTTCAGTTATATAATCATAATTTTTCCCTGGGCAAAAAAAAAATTTTCATTTGAATATTCTTCTTTTAATATTTTTTTTTGATTAAATTAGAAATATTTTATTTAATTATTTTAGAAATTTATAATTTTTTTAAATATTTAAATTTTTAGAAAAAATTTATTATTTTTATTTTAGAAAAAAAATTTTAATGAAAATAATTTTTTTTTTTCACTTTTATAATAAATGATGATTTTCACCTATATTTTTTGAAAATTTTAATTTTCTATGAAAAAAATTGCCTACATTTAGGCTTCGCCGAATATTGAAATCATATTTCACTTTATGAAAATTTCTTTTTATTCTTTTTATATAAAAAATTCAAACAAGATATTTTTCAAAATAATTTATTTTTTTCTCTTTTAAAACTCAATCAAAATTCAAAAGAATCACTTTTTTTCCAAAATTTTAAATTTTCTTTATTGAATTTTTTTTTTTCTTTCGACCAACACCCACTATTAAATTTGTTAACTTTTTTTTCTCTACATTCATAATTTTTTTACATATTTTTTCTATTTTAAATTTAATTAAAAATATTTTTAATTTAATATTTTACCTCGAAAAAGCACAAAATATTATTGAAAACTGCTTTGAATTTTTAATTTAACGCAAAATTTTTATATTACTGATAAGGATATATTTTTTTCCTTTAGAAACTTCAAGATGTCTGCCACTTGAAAATACAAAAATAAAAAAGTGATATTACAAATAATTGGAATTTTCTTGTATATTTTTTTTTGTATTCCTACAATTTATTTTTGTATATTTAGAACTTTCTTCCTCGAAATGGAAAATTATATTGCCAACTTGGACTATGCGTACATCTTTATGAACCCTCAGCAAAAATTCATTTTTCCTATTTTTCCTTTTTGTTTTTTTTTTTTATTTTTCTGTTTTATATTTGACATTTTGTATATACGTATGTACATTCTTTTGCACAGTAACTGATAATATATACATACATATAGTTGATAAAAATCTTTTTATATAGATGAACATTCGTATAACATAATAATATTGATATCAGTAATGTATCTGAAAGGCAATACTTGTTGTTGTTTTATTATCGGAATATATCGATGTATACGTATACAGTAACGGCGAAAACCAACAACAATCTTATATATTTTAAAATATTTACATGTATGTATACCAAAAATAAAAAAATCGAGTAAAATTTTTACACCCTCTTTTATATAACTGAATGACATTCAAAATATAATAGAAGAAAATAACAATGATAGAGGGTAACAATAATTGTTGTAGTAAAATAGAACGGAAAGTATGATAAGAAAAATAAAATCAATAAAAAATATAATTGTTATATACTTACCTACAAGTATAGATATTGACATAATTTATATAATATACTTACATACATATGTGACATTTCGTACATAATTATTTACAAAATATAAATTTTGTGTATTTGCGCTATAATATATGCAAAATGTATAACAATCATATGACAGGATTTTGAAAAATTCAATAACACAATAATATCAAATGTATATCAGCTGATTAATATAACAGTAAGCAACAAGTGTCAAAATATTCTCTTTAAAATTATTGTATACAGAAAAATTGTGATAGTAAACATGAATACACATAAATATTATTAAAACAATATGCAACACACAATATACCCACACAATAATTAAAAACATATGTTTTAAAAGAATTCAGTAGAAAAGGTAATGTAAACAAAGAACATGTGCATAATTTGTTATGTATGTACATACAATGTGTTTGTTTATAAGAAAATATTAGAATACACATAAGTATTGTTTTTAGGTCAATTTTTTGCATTAGTTGTTGCCGGTCGATATTTAATGTTATTGTTGTTTTAATTTTAATGTTATTGTATGTTGTTATAGCTGTAAAAAATATTTTATATTGTATAAGTATAAAGGTTGACATAAAAGTTTTCATTTTCAAGTTTTTTTTTTTTGGGGTGGACATGAAATGAATGGAATGTGAACACTTGTTGAATTTTTGTTGATTTCACATATTTTGTAAATATTTTACAGAAATTTTCTTTGTTTTTCTTTTTTGATGTGATTGTTTTTTGATAAATTAAATAAAAATAATGAAGCTTTTGAAAGCTTTGTAGGAAAAATTTCATGCTATTGTTAATAAGAATAGATTTTTGAAGGTCTGCCGGAAACGCATTAAAAAAATATCAAAGGCTTCATAGGCGAAAATAAAATTTTATATTCAGTTTAAAAAATGAAAAAAACAAAGAGTAGGGAGTGGAAATTTTTGAGGGATTTAATCTTCTTGCATAGTTTACAAAATTAATGAAATTTCTAATTACAGAAAAAATACTAATGTTTTAATTGTTATTATTTCTACAAATATATTAACACACGTGAAGCTTTTTAAAATTCAGTCGTACTGTGTTATTCAGTAAATGTAACCGGAGTAAAGAATAGTTAATAAATAAAAAACTTGAGAAGTTCTTGTAGTTAAAAATACAAGAAGTCACTCATTACTTTCAATATGCAAAATTTCATATTCTCCTTAACATTTTCAATATTAAGTATGTATTTGAAAAATAGATTATAGAAATCATGTGTGTGTATCCATATTGAATATATTTGAATAAATTCTTTTACCCTAGCACTCAAATAAGTGTTAGGTCTTATTACCTTTATCCTCTTTTAGTACCGTAAAAACGTACAAATTTTTTCAAAACCTAGTAAACTTTTGAGTAGTTTAAACACTGTTCTCATACAAATGTAAATTTTGTGTACATTGCGTAAATTCATAAATTGCTTAAATTCGTAATTGATGTTCATTTTATTTTATTTGCATTCTTCAATATTTCTATAACTACAATATTTTAACATGGCGTTATTTGAAGTAACACTATACCTTCAATTTTACTTATACATTTTTATTACTAATGCACAATATTTTATACAAATAGATCCGAATATTATTTGATTATATAGACAAATATACGGAAAAAAAAAAACAATTTTTTATTTTAAGATTTTTAATTTGAATAAATTTTCAAAACTCCTTCAAATGATTTAAAGAGTTAAATTTATTATTTGTCATAACAATTGCATTAAATGCAATAACGAAATTTATTGTTGTAACTACAATATTATTTTGTCAAGTTCTTTGCAAAAATTATTAGATTATAATGCAGGAGTGGAAATTTGTAATGTGAATAAATTAAAATTAAAAAATGAATATTTTTTTGTTTTTTGTATCTTAAAACTTATGGGATGGTTGAATATATTTTTTTATTGTCTTTGATTTCTTTTAGAGAATGTACGAATATTACTCTATTATAATGTTAATAAGTTGTTGTTGTAACAAGAAAATTGTCGCAATTAAACGCCTCCGTCGCCAATCTAATAATACAAATCGTTTCATTCTAAATTTTTTTTTCATTTCGTTTCTCTTATACAATGGAATTACACGAAATATATACGAATCAGAATAAAATAAAAAGAAAAAACGCGAAAAAAACATTCAATTTTTTTTCCTTTTTTATTCTATGTAGATGTCTTTTTCTTCTATAGATATAAAAGAAGAAAAAAATTAGTTTAATAGGACAAATCACGGTAAATTTGCGCGATGACTTATAAATACAGAATCATACGTTACATACCATATACACATATTATGTATTATGCATGCATGAATGTACTCTTGAATGCATTTTAAAAAAACCTTTTAAAAAATTAACTAAATTTCTTATGATTGAGTGACGATATGTTGTTATTCTTTTCTGTTTTGATATTTTTAAATTTATAATGTTAATGGCATTTTGTTGTACATGAAACAAGTATGTAAATTGTGACTTTAAAGGTTATGAACTGGAAAGAAAAAAGGTTAAAATTTTAATAGTTTTGTATTTTATTTTGTATACAAGTTGGAAAAAATTATAATAAAATATAAAAAATAAGGTTTTGTTTTCTATTTTAAATGAGTATAATTTCATTATTACAAGTATATTAGGAATTTAAACTAAAAATAGAATATGGAATTTGAAGATTTTAGAAATTCATCCTAAATTTAAGATTTTATAATAAAAATTTTTCAAATTCTAAAAAAAAAAAAATTAATTGATTTTTTCAACGTTTTTACAAGATAATTCAAAAAATTGTCGTAAAAGTGAACTCATTCTTCTATATCTGCATAAAACGAACTCTTGAGCTTTGCCTAAATTAATAAATTTAATAATATTCTTTTAAGATTAAAATAGGTTCAATTGTTTCATCAACTAATGGTGATGAAATTGAAAAAAAAAAAATTAATTATAAAACAGCAATTTGGACATGCTGTCCTTAGAATTTTTTTCATCAAAATCATTGCTACACCCTATGAATACCTTTGGTACAGAAAAGGTTATTAATTTTATTTATTAAACTATTCTACGAATATTTTTTAACCCTTTCGACCCGTCTTTCGAATAGTGTATAAATACATATTTCACATGTGAGATCTATTACTCGTACCTTTATATAAAACAAACTATCTGTGATGGAAAATATCGCGTTTAACTTTAGTGTGCTGAAAGGGTTCAGATAGTTGGATGCATATTATGTGATATCAATGCAGTTATAATAATTATTGATAAGATATTTTAATTTGTTTAGTTAAGAAATGAAACAGCAACAAAATTTATTCAGAAAAATTTTCCAAAATTAGTTCAGTTTTCCAAACACAATATGTTGCTAAAATTTGATTACGTTGAAAAGGTAGGTTTTAAAAATGAATTTTTGGATACCGAATATCTGGAAAAAAAAAAATTTAAAAAAATTCAAATTAATTTAAACAAGATTTTTCAAATTACAAAAATAAGGGGATGGTCTATTGCAATTACAAGTTAATTCACACATATATTTAAATAAAAATTTTGAAAATTAGAGGAAAAAAACGGAAACTTAAAAATTAAAGCACCAGAATATAAAAATAAAAAATTCATTCTGTGGTGTACCAATTATGCTGAGATCTATGGCATGCATGTGGCAGAAGGCATATATTTATATAGAAATATTTTTTTATGACAAAATTATCATATTGAATTTTAGTTGTTCCATTTTTCTTTTCACAAAGCATTAAAGTCTAAAGTTTCATTGCTTAAATCTTTTTATATTTCTAAATTTTTTAAGAAGACCAACCATATCGACATGGGAAATTACTTTGTCACGGAACCACCTACATAACATATTTTTTTTTGTATACGATAACGACAATAACGTTTTTTTTTTTATTTTCTTGGATTTTTTTATAAGAAACTCCAAAAAAAATTCTCATAAACGTTTGTGTGGAATAAGAGTGGAAAATGAAAACAATATGATTTAAAGGAAATATGTAAGTTATCATGAGATTTTAATGTTAGTAGGTACGTGCGATTTCTTTAATAATTCAAAAGTAAATAAAATGTAAACTTTTTTAGCTAAGGGGGTTTTCCTTACAACTTTTGTTTTCCTTTTTTTTCTAAATTATGCGAATTGTCTTTCTAATATTTTACTTTGTTCAAATGTACCGAAATTAAATTGAAACATACAATGTAATCGGAAAGGTTTTACAAAATAAAATTCATTAATTTGATAATTTGAAAATTATTTTGAAAAAAAAAACATTTTACAAAGCAATGAATTTGAATTAAAGTTTTTGCGAAAAGAATTTAATGTTTATTAACCGTCTGCACTCATACTTATTTAAGTGAAACAATTTATGTACACTATAGAGTCTACCACATTCCAATGTGTAATATCGTAAAAATATTAAGAAAAAATTTGGTTCTAATTTAAGTTTTTTTTTTATTT